AATTTCCAAGAACTTGCAGAAAAAGATGAATTATGCTTATTATTTTTTGTCCTCCCCTTTTGGAAAAATTTCTTCCATTTTTCAACTCCCAAGTGTAGAAAACTAATGTACAAATTCCATTGCTATGAAATAATTTACCAGAAGTCTTCGTCCTCTTAATGTTTTCAAGGGAAAAAGAAACTGTATTTTAGACACAATCTTAAAACATACATATGCTGATACTGTCCTACTCTGAAGCCTTGTTTATTTTAAAATATTCACCAGAAACTCTGTGATCATCCTCAATAAATCTGTAAGGCAAATATCTGCTGTTATGAGGACACTGCTAGGCACAGGCAACAATCCAAGGAAAATAAAATTTTAAATGTTATCAAAATCCTCAGGAAAACAAATTCTAACAGAGTATTTGACTACCTTAAACAATGTATATAATGTATGTGATTTATGCTTAACTTCTTGCACAAACTTAATATTTACTCTCTGAATTAAAGCACCTATTACATAAACAAGTCCGAACATAAAAAGAACGAAAATGAATTGAGTGGATTTTAGTGTGTATCATCAGTTTTTTGTTTGGTTTTTTTTGTATTTTTAACTGCATGGGTCACTTTCATCAATGCAAAGCAAAAGTAAAGTCCTCTACAACTGGGAAATATTGTAAATTTTTTTTTTAACCTATAAACCTTTAAATATTTGCCAGGACAAATAAACAAAACACGTATTTTTAACTGCATGGGTCACTTTCATCAATGCAAAGCAAAAGTAAAGTCCTCTACAACTGGGAAATACTGTAAATTTTTTTTTTAACCTATAAACCTTTAAATATTTGCCAGGACAAATAAACAAAACACACAGACCTGTACACACTCACAAAACAATAAAACAACAAAAATCAAACACAAGGTTTCATGGCTAATTTACTGTTTCCTACCATCAGAGATAAGATTACTGATCTGATAATAATTGTCTTAGATATCTGAAGACTTTTGTGGCTATCAGTTTGTCAATACAGATTTATAAGATTGAGTTGCATACAGTTTGCCAGTTGATCATTATTAGAACTTAGTCTCTGCAAGCCAGTACCTATACATACCCTTGTAACAAGTTTTAAAAAACTATATTGTGTGATACGCTTGAGACATTTTCGATTCTGTTTTTTGTTTTATTTATTTAGGGGGAAAAAAGACAGCAACTTATTAAATTGACTATAGGATATGCTACCACTGTCAGTTTGAAAACCACTGACTAATGAGCTGATAAACAGCAGAATATATGCCAANAGAACGAAAATGAATTGAGTGGATTTTAGTGTGTATCATCAGTTTTTTGTTTGGTTTTTTTTTGTATTTTTAACTGCATGGGTCACTTTCATCAATGCAAAGCAAAAGTAAAGTCCTCTACAACTGGGAAATATTGTAAATTTTTTTTTTAACCTATAAACCTTTAAATATTTGCCAGGACAAATAAACAAAACACACAGACCTGTACACACTCACAAAACAATAAAACAACAAAAATCAAACACAAGGTTTCATGGCTAATTTACTGTTTCCTACCATCAGAGATAAGATTACTGATCTGATAATAATTGTCTTAGATATCTGAAGACTTTTGTGGCTATCAGTTTGTCAATACAGATTTATAAGATTGAGTTGCATACAGTTTGCCAGTTGATCATTATTAGAACTTAGTCTCTGCAAGCCAGTACCTATACATACCCTTGTAACAAGTTTTAAAAAACTATATTGTGTGATACGCTTGAGACATTTTCGATTCTGTTTTTTGTTTTATTTATTTAGGGGGAAAAAAGACAGCAACTTATTAAATTGACTATAGGATATGCTACCACTGTCAGTTTGAAAACCACTGACTTATGAGCTGATAAACAGCAGAATATATGCCAAGAGGCAGGAGACTAGATAGCTCTACTTGACAGAATGGCCTTTGTTGATGCCACTCAAAAGGCACTGCGGTGTTATGTTCTCCCATCCTCTTCTTAGAAGATATTCTCTTCTAATAACCTTTACTTCAAATAAAAAAGGATGGTAGGCAGACCCTTGAAGGTGATGTAGAAGATATGACATACCATCAGAAGCCACAGACTTACCCTGGTCACTTCAGCAAGGCAAACAATATTAAACTAATACCACTTCTGAGGGAATCTGTGACTATGGAACATGTAACACTTAGTGGAACTAAACTCAATCAATATCCACATAAATGTATATATATATTATTTCAATCTTTTTAAAAAACTAAAACATAAGTTTAAAAAAATATATTCTTTCTCACATTCAATGCACTGATATTTTATTTTCTGCTCTAATATATGTTTCAATGCTGGTCATAACCCACTAAATTGATTTCTTGATCAACTAATGAATGAGCTGAAACCTACAATGTGAAAAACACAGCCTTAGAGAACTCACAAATCAACCTAGCAGGATAAGAAGCCCATAAAGTATCAGTCTCTAGTGGCTGGCTACCTTCTTTCCTGGCGAGAAGAAGCCCTAAGAATTAAAAACACCAGTCAAACAGTGATGGCTTATTTTACGCTAGGAAGAGCACAAGAGAAAGAGCAAAACTCAGGATAAGAAAAAAATGTAATGGCACCCCCGCCCCCAACAAAAGAGGTACTCATCTGTCAATCTAACATTCACTTCCTACATGCCAAACCCTGCCATAAGAGTTGTGTGTGCGCGTGTGTGTGTGCATGTGTTCGATTATCTATATACGAGGGGAATTCAAAAAGTTCATGGAAAGATAGAATTAAAAGATATTATGAATCTCTCCATAAGTTTTTTGAAGTCCCCTCTAATATCTAACATAAATTATACAATTATATGCTTCTATTGTTATACTTTTAAATATATAAATTTATATTATTTTCTAGGTCATTCTCACAACCTGTTAAGATAAAGTAAGTATTAGATTTGAAACACAAGTAAATTGGTCCCAGAGTTTAATCTCTAAACTACAAAGCTATAAACTCTTCCAAAGAGAATAGGAGTTCACAACTCTGGCTATCCATCAAAATCCTCTGTATGGATGCCCAAGTGCTACCCCAAAAAGGAATGCTGAACTTGAAGTGGCAACTATTACAGAGAAAACATATTGTGTGAACAATTTATTGAACACCATCTTGAAACCATTATGTTCTAGAATATCTTCTTGAAGGGTGGATACTATTCTGTGCCATCAGACATAAACTTCCTGGTTCAATTGAATGATTGCCTTGGTTAATAAGCAGATGACTCTACCTTGGAACATGATTAGATCACATCATTATGGACTAGAATTTAATATAAAGCAGGTTTGTCATAGCTTTAATTACTAAATTCCATTAAGAATTTAACTGCTGACATGCCAAAAGGATCATAGCATAAGTTAGCCTAACTGATAAAAATCACAGACTGAACCAGTATATTTCTATTAAATTTATCTATCCGTGACTTAAATCACTATCTTCCCAACATATTTTCCTTTATTAGCTAAGAGATAAAGAATTCTTTTTTTTTTTTTTTTGTCTTTTTTCATGACCGGCAACGGATCGCAACCCTCAGTGTC